TTGTATGAAATACATGGTTATTAATTTCATTTTATAAAAGTGAAAACTGAAACTCAAAGGATTTTTAATGACCTGCCTTCGGTTACTCAGTTGGTGAGTTGTGCAGGCTCGACAGATCCTAGATTTCTCTGACTTCAAGTCCAAAGCTCTTGTCTTTACACTGTGTGGAATAGTTAACTCTAACAAGTCAATCTGTCTCATCTTTGGTATAGCGTGTTCTAGTACATCTACAAGCAAAGATAACCTTTAGCAATTTGCTATGCAATTATCAGTGACCCATATTGTATATTTTTATTTTTGTGGACCCTGTTCTAGTTTGATTTCTTTTCCCCTCTTTTAGAGAATTATAAAAAGCATAGCTTCTGCACTCAGACAGAATTTGGATTTAGCTTTGCTATTTATTAGCAATATAATTTTAGCTTTTAAATAACTTTGCCACACGTGAGTTTTCCCATCTATATAAATGGGGTAATGGTTGCCTCATTGGGTAGTATATTTGTTACATGTTGCTGCGTAATAAGTAACCCACAACTTGGTGACTTAAAACAACAAATGTTTATCACCTCACAGTTTCTGTGGGTCGGGAATGAGGGAGCTGCTCAGTGAGTGGTTCTGCCTCAGGGTCTCTCATGAGATTTCAGCCAAGCTGTCGGCTGGGGCTGCAGTCATCTGAAGGCTTGATGGGGGCTGGAGGATTCACTTCCAAGAGGGCTCACTCACATGGCTGTGGGCAGGACGCCTCCATTCCTCACCACGTGGGCCCCTCTATAGGCTGTTTGAGGGTCCCTGCAGCATGGCAGCTACCCTCCCCCAGAGCAAGCCATCCAAGGCAAGGGGAGAGCCGCAGTGCCTTTGCAGAACTAGTCTCCAGAGTCACACACTTTTACCTTCTGCTTTATTTTATTTGTTAGAAGAGAGCCAGGAAAGTCCAGCCCATACTCAGTGGGAGGGGAATTAGGCTCCACCTCTTGAAGGGAGGAGTATCAAAGAATTTGTGGACTATTTAAAAATCACCACATGTGGACTAAGGGGCAGCCTGTATGACCACAGTTTCCATGTGCTCTGAGAGCTTGGTTCCTTTCCTTTCTCTGTGTCCACTGCCCTCTCAGCAGGTGGTGGGCAGGAGCAGGCTTTCTGACTGAGCAGCCACCAAAAGGCTAATGAGAAGTGAAAAAACTTTTCATTGACCCAAAGGCTACAGTGATAGTTGTCATAGTCACTCCCTGTAGGGGCAGAGTGATATGGTTTAGATTTTTCTCTCTACGCAGTATGCTAGTGATGACTCTACCACCCCAAGGGCGAAATAGTCAGGGCTTATTCTTTTCAGTACATCAGGTAGAGGGATATTCCTAAGCTTCATTTGGAATCCTTTGCTAAGACAAGGAGAAAGCATCAATAGATCTAACCATTGAAAACTCACTCATTCTTGTAGGCTTACACTGTAGACATGGCCAGCAAAGCAGGGAGGGGTTAGCTAACCCTTGGATGGAAGCGCTTAGTCTCTGCACAGTCTTGAAGGCCATGTTCACACCTATAAATGGAAGCCTCTATAGAATACCAAAGTGGATGAAAGAAAAGGGTAAGTAGTAGTCTCCTAAACATCAAGGCAGGAGTGAAGACCATCCCTGTCCCTGGCTTTAAGTCTGGGTCCTTTCAGAAGAGTGAATTTTTAGGGGCTGTAGAGCTGTATGCTAACTCAACTTTTATCCTAGTCCCCCCGCCAGAAAACCACCAAACGTGCTGTCATCAACTCGATTCTGACTCATAGCGACCCTGTAGGACAGAGTAGAACTGCCTTGTAGGGTTTCCAAGGAGTGGCTGGTGGATTCAAACTGCCTACCTTTTCGTTAGCAGCTGAGCTCTTAACCACTGCGCTACCAGGGCTCTGTTTTAGCCTGTTAGGTGGTTCTAATGTGTAATCTTGGGGATGAGTCCCCAAAGCAAATGCTGGCAGTTCTAAATAACAGTACTATTGAAATTGGTCAAATAACTGGTCCAGAGTGGGGGGCAAAAGAGCATGAAAATGGAGAAAAATATACCACCTGTTAGCTGATGCCTTCTAAATTATATGTTCACCCTATACCAATCCCCTGAACTGCCCACTTGACAGTTTTACTTGGATGTGAAATAAGTATCTCAAGCTTAACACGTCCTAAACCTGAACAGCTAGTTTTTGCCACCACCACTGCTCTGTGAACAAAACAAAATAGAAACAAACAAAAAATTACCCTGATTCTCTCATCTTAGTAACTGGCAACTTCATTCTTGGAGTTAACTGAGGCCAAGAACTTTGGCTGTCTTTTCTCTCACATCCCATTTCCAGTCCATCCCAGAATCTCACTATTTACCACCCCTTCTGCTGCTACTACCCTGGTCCGCATCACCATCTGTCTCCCGGATTACTCTCATAGCCTCCTAATTGGTCTCCTTGTGCCACTGTTGTCTCTCTACAGTTGTTGCCCACAGAGCAGCCAGAGGGAGCCTGTTAAGATGTATAAATCATTTCATTCCTTTGCTCAGTATTCACCAGTGACTTGCCTACTGACTCAGTAAATGCTAAAGTCATTTACAGTAGCCACCAAATCCTATCCAATCTGGGCCCCTGGTCCTTCTGACTTCTCCTACTGTCTTCCCCGTGCACACTGTGTTCCAGCTAAACTCCTCCTTGCTGTTCCTTATAAATAACAAGCACACTCCTGCCTCAAGGCCTTTGCCTTTCCCTCTGCCTAGAATGTTCTTCCTGCAGAAATCTGAATGGCCTACTCCCTTATTTCCTTCACGACCATGCTAAAACTCACCTCATCAGAAAGGCCTTTCCCAACCACTCTGTGACATGTCTGACATGTAGTGGGTGCTCAGTACATGTTCGTCAAATGAATGAAAACACAACCAGAGGCAACACGTAATGGTTTTTCTGCTCGTTGCGTCCCCTGGCTCACATACGATGCTGTTTTAGTTAGTGTGTGGCTAACGGAGCTTGCTCTGTGGGGTACGTAAGGTGGTCACTAATGTGTATTGCTTGCAGAAAGCTCTGAGGAAGGGTGATCAGGCCAAATACTAGGTCTAAGAAGTGAACCGAGTGACTATGGGAAAAGTTTGGCTTGGTTGGAACAAAATAGAGCCAGTGAGGAATTTTGCTTGGAAAAACACACACACAAAATTTCCTTTATAATATCCTGTCTAGAAAACACCTCCCACTGAGTGGTACCGAGCAGGTCTCAGTTTGGCAGTGTCTTAGTCATCTAGAGCTGCTATAACAGATAGACTACAAGTGGATGGCTTCAACAAACAAATGTATTCTCTCACAGTTTAGTAGGCTAGAAGTCCGAATTCAGGGTGCCAGCTCCAGGGGAAGGCTTTCTCTCTCTGGCAGCTCTGGAGGAAGGTCCTTGTCATCAGTCTTCCTCTGGTCCAGGAGCATCTCAGTGCAGGGACCCCAGGCCTGGAGGACTTGCACTGCTCCTGGCTCTTCTTTCTTGATGTAGGAGGCCTCCCTGTCTCTCTGCTCACGTCTCTTTCATATTTCAAGAGATTGATTTAAGACACAACCTAATCTTGTAGATTATTGAGTCCTGCCTCATTAACATAATTGCCTCTAGTCCTGCCTCATTAACATCATAGAGGTAGGATTTACAGCACATAGGACAAAATGGTGGATAATCACACAGTACTGGGAATCATGGCCTTGCCAAGTTGACACGTATTTTGGAGGGACACAGTTCAACCCATGATAGGCAGTGACTGGTTGTAGAGACAGTTTGAGGCCTTGCCCATTCCAGCAGGACCTTTGATTGTTTTTAAGCCAAGGAAAGCCAAGCCAATCAAAGAGGGTACATGGAATCAGCTTGTGATATTGTATAATTGTACAGGCTTTTATAGTCTCCGAATGAATATCTTGACATCTTATTCATCTATTCAGGAACTCTGGGAGGCAAACAAGGACAAGAATTATTTCCATTTTTATAATGGGTGTAGAGCTGAAGCACAGAATAGTTAAAGAACTAGCAAAACTGGAATTTGGACCATGCCTCTTGATTCTCTTTACCCTTTGGCCAACAAAGTGATGTCTGGCTTATGTTTATTGCTTTCAGATTCCTGAAACTGGTGAGGCATTGGTGGAAAATACAGTTAAGATAAAAGAAGGCTAAATTCAAAGAATTAACCCCTATCTCAGGCTGCTTTGATCCTTGAAACTGACCCAATTTTTAGACCACAGGCGGTGTTTATTTCTTCCTGGGAGACCCCTAAAAGCAGAGAAGACCAGCAGCCTCTATCAGTTCTGGAAATGTCTCCAAGATTTGGTTCATTGAGATTGTTGCTAATCAAGTTTGTGAGTCAGATTCCTGAGCTGTTAATATAATCCTCTTGGGACACTTTAGATTTCCTGTTCATCCTTTCCTTCTCCCTTGTGAAGACCATTTTGCTGGATTCTCTCTTTCCTGGGAGAGCTTTTGTCATTACTTGATAAGTATTAATAACAAAGGCTTGTCAAGTCATTTCTCATTTATTGTTTTTACATACCTTGCTGTAGGACTTGATTTGAGGTGTTGGATTCAGGGATCTCTCATTTCTTAAGGGAATGTGTGACAGCTGACATGACCCATAATCATTTTTAGTGCAGGTATTTTAAGAAAAAATAAAACAAAAACTTGATTGGTGGAGGAGATAATAGTTTTCTATTTGCATTTTCTTCAAAGGAAGGCTTATTAATTTAAGGGAGTGGGGCCTGCACCCTTTTCCAGTAGATTGGAGAACACCTACATCAGTAGAACCTCATATTATTAGTAACGCTGGTGTCTCTTTGTGCTGCTTGGGGGAGGGAGTAGGAGATGGGGTTTGTCCCATTGTCCTATTCTGACCTGAAATGCTCTTTATCAAAGCTGGAGATGAGGGCAGGCCTAAAGACTGACTGCATTAGGGCTCTGAGCCAATAGGTTGGGCCTTTGTATCCCTGTTCAGAGCAGGCTCCCATGGTAACTGTTCAACACTCTTTCTCACAGCTGCTCCTGACATCACTGGCCATAAACGGAGTGAGAACAAGAACGAAGGGCAGGATGCCATGATGTACTGCAAGTCAGTTGGTTACCCCCACCCAGAGTGGGTATGGCAAAAGAAGGGGGACGATGGATTCTCGGTGAGTAGAAGGGCAGTCCTAGTTCTGTGCCTGGTCTGTGTGGTTGCTGGAGTTCTCCTGGGGAGGTGCAGACATCTGGACCAGTTGCTGCAGCAGCCATACCCTTGAAGGTGCATGGCTTCACTTACCCTCTCCTGGGTCATGAATGGTTTGTGTCATAAATCTGGAGGCCTTTGGCAGTCTCCGTTCAGCAGGGATCCCTGTACACAGTTTGTTAAAGTTGTCTGTCTCTCTGGTTAGGGATTAAGATTGCTTGCCTTCAGGATAGGACACTGAATGAGCTAAACCTAATCTTAAACCTTTATTATTATTCTAGTCTATTTATCCTGAAGAAAATATTGTTGTGGAAGTGGTTTTAATGTGCTTCTTTGTTTTTTTTGGAAGACAAGGCACTAAGGGCAGGTGTTAGTATATTCCATAGATTCCTGGAACACAGGAAAAACTGATGAGGAATTGGGGTGACCTGTTGAGGCCTTAGGGCCACCTTAGATGTTGGGAATCTGACATTTATCTGCTCCAGAAAAGATCAAAGAGAACATCTGTTCCCATCCGTGAGATGATTCTTTCAATCTATTTGTAGAGTCTTTGTCTCTCTCACTTTCTCTTTGATTTAATGATGTTTGACCACCCACCTTTTCTGTCAGAGGGGGTATAATATTGACATTATTCCTCCTAGCCCCAAGCCTTACATGCTCGTCGGCACTAAACTTCTGACATCCTTATTCATTGTCAGTCTTCAGAATCATAAGGGACCCCTAGAGATCATCTAATTCAACTTCTTTACTTTGTAGGGAGGAGAAACACGGAAAGGTTACATATTAACCACAGTAAATTAGTGGCAAAACCAAGTGTCAAATCCAGTGTTTTGTTCCAAGTCCATTATTCTTTGCACTCCATAAATGTCTCAGTAATAAAATGTCAAGGTGGTGATACTCCAGCATCAACAATGATGGCTAGATGTCAGAAACCCATTAATGGCGGGAGACCTATTAATGAAGAATGGCGAGATAAAGATGCTGATTGAGTATTTTCAGGCCTGCCCTGAAAGATCAACAAGACGTTTAGTCTTCTAAGATGCTGGTGAAGAAATGCCCATTTCTGTATACTGGTCATTGGGAAAGTCCTGGTGGCACAGTGGTAAAGAGCTATGGATGTGCATCAACAGGTTGGCAGTGCAAATCCACAGCCGCTCCTTGGAAACCCTATGGGGCAGTTCTACTCTGTCCTGTAGGGTCACTGTGAGTCGGAATCAACTCGACGGCAACATTGGGGAGGAAGGCCCTTGAGCTTTTGCCAAGCAGTTTAGGATTCCTAAGTGGGTATTTTCATCTTTCTTATTCTTCTCATGCCTGCAGATTATCTGTTATATTTTGAAAAACATTGAAAATCAAGCATTGTTACTTGCCCTTACTTTTGAGCCATGTATCATTTTGTAGAGAGAAAATTTTTGAGGAAAGAGGGATGGGGAAAAGAAAAGTTATTCCTAGGCTAATGCCTTTGAAAGCCAGTTTGTTGAACAGCCTGAAACTCAGTTGAGTGCTGAGATGAAATGCTTTTAATTTTTTCTAGACACTAACGCTCTAACTTCCTTTTCTGGATGGATTCCATAGCTTTCTTGGAACTCTTTGTTGTTAAAAAGTTTAGTCTGTTGTTTAGGAAGCAGTATTGTTTATTTATAGCTGATGGAAAACTTGGCAATTTGATATTAGTGATGGTTACACAACGTGATTGATGCACGTGGTGTCACTGAGTTGTACACATGGAAGAGGTTGAGTTGGCAAATGTGTTATCTGTATTTTATACCAACTTAAAAAAAAAAAAAGTTAGTCCCGTTCAATTCAAAAGTCCCATAGCCTGAAGGACCTGCAAGGGAGGTGGGGGATTGTCTTTGTCTGTCTTCTGGGTCCCCTTTTCCTTCTGACTGTGAGGCGGGGGTGGGGAGGTGGGGGACAAGTATCACTTTCCTGACTTTCCTTGTAGTCCACTCTTGGTTGTTGCTGCTTCTGTGGCCTCGACCGACTGGCCTCTGTGTGGCGGCCATCCAGATGCTACATCTTATGATCAGTTCCTGAGCCTCTCACTGCTGGGCACTTGCACTCAGAAGGCAGCTCCGGGAGGCAGAGGACATTTGAGCATCATGGCTCTCCAGATGGTGGGAGAATCAGCTGATCTTCCTTCTTATCTCCAAATAACCCTTTTCTGAGATAGGCACACACAGGGCACATCGCCCAGTCTCCTGCCTAAACAAATATCTACTGGAAAAGGAGATACTGGTCTCCCTTTTTCCATGCCCCCCTAGTCTTTGAGTGATTCTCTTGGTGCTTTTTCCACTTGGCTGCAGCGTAGAAGGATGCAATGCCAAGTCTAATTCCTTTCCTCCCACCTCCAGTCCTGTCTTCTCTCTTATAGACTGGGGGGAGTGATCTAGTTTACGTGATGACTGGTGGTAAGATACCCTGATGGGGTTCCCTTTCAATATACCTGGGAGAACTATCTGCCCCCCGTTTTTTTTTTAGTATCTTTTTAGAATATGGGATACTTCTGATGCCTCTCTCCTTAGCTACTGTAAGGCAAAAGGACGAGTCCCTTGCCTTGTTGTTGATTGCATTGACTGAGAAGGTGGGAGTCTTCCTGTGATGGTATTCAAAGACTGCCCGGTGAAGGCTTGATGGCACTAGTTGTGAATAAAAAGCACAGAATTATTGAGCAAGTAAAGTAAGGTTTAGAAAAGTTGGCAGCTTTCCAAGTCCTAGAGTTGCTGCTTCACAGAATAACTTACTTTGAAGGCTCTGAGTTCCCCCATTTCAATCAGGTTGTTGTTAGCTGCTGTCAGGTCAGCCCCTGACTCATGGCAACCCCATGCACAACAGGATTGGACCACTGTGATCCATAGGATTTTCAGTGGCTGATTTTCAGAAGCAGATCACCAGGCCTTTCTTTCTAGTCCATCTTAGTCTGGAAGCTCCCCTGAAACCTGTTTAGCATCATAGCAACACACAAGCCTGCACTGACAGATGGGTGATGGCTGTGTTTACCACACTGGAGTGCAGGCAAACGGTTGTGTCATGGATTGAATTGTGTCCCCCAAAAATGTCTGTCAACTTGGCTAGGTTGTGATTCCTGGTATGTATGATTGTCTATCATTTTGTAATCTGAGGTGATTTCCCTATGTGTTGTAAATCCTATCACTATGATGTAATAAGATGGATTAGCGGCAGTTGTATTGATGAGATCTGGAAGATTAGTGTCTTAAGCCAGTCTCTTTTGAGATATAAAAGAGAAGTGAGCAGAGAGACGTGGGGATCTCATGCCACCAAGAAAGCAGTGCTAGGAGTAGAGCACGTCCTTTGGACCTGAAGTTCCTGCACTGAGGTGCTCCCAGAACAAGGGAAGACTGATGACAAGGACCTTTCTCCAGAGCCAATAGAGAAAGCCTTCCCCTGGAGCTGACGCTCTGAATTTGGACTTGTAACTTACTAGACTGGGAGAGAATAAATTTCTCTTTGTTGAAGCTATCCACTTGTGATATTTGTTATAGCAGCACTAAATGACTAAGACAGATTGTATGCTATATATAGCAAGGCATTTTTGGGGGGATTATCTTCCCCCTTTCTTTTTTCTGTTGTTTCTATGCTTTAGTTGATGAACGGTGAAGACTAATAAGCCAATGGTTTTTCTCTGACAGTATCCCATGAGATTAGTGCTGCAAGCATGTCCCGGTTCCTAGGCCCCTGGTTGTGGGTTCCCTCACCTCTGTGTCTTTGCACATGTTCTTCCCTTTGCCTGGAATACTCCTGTCCTGCTTGATTAGCTCCTCCTCCTCCACCATCTACTTCAAATGTTACCTCTTCTCCGAAGCTCTCCCCAACACTGCCCAGCAGTGGTCACTCCCTGAGGGCTTCTTACCGCGTTCCTTAATGATCCCTTTGGTGGGCTAGTTCTCTCTTGAGGCCAAACTCCTTGTTCATTTTTGTGTCATTTCTCCCTATCTCACCTTCCCCTTAGTAGGCCATAAAACATGTCTAGCACACATTAGTAAATATTTGTTGATTGAATGAATAAAATTTGTTTTAGCCTTTGTACCCTAAAAGGAAAGGGAAGTTTTGAACTTCCCGCACTCTGACTAGGAGCAAGTTGTTAGCATTGCTTCTGGAGGAAGTTTATGGAGACTTCCCTGAACTTACGTAGCCTGAAGATGTGCTGCCACTGAAGTCATCAGACAGGCCTAAGGTTTCCAGAGTCTCCTGACCATGGAGGTCACCCCCTCCCTGATCCTTTTTCTGCTACTGTTTCTTACCTGGCGTTTGCAGTGGCATTTACTAGATTGAGTCGGTCTTTTCCAGGTCTGTAGGCAGTAGGCTTTCCACTCACTCCATGGAAGGTGGAGAAGTCTAGAGGACCAATGCCAGGGGAGGTGTTTGCCTTGGCTCTGTCAGCCTTGTTGATTTGTTATTGTTGTTGATGATATTGAAGGGAAGTCATTAATAAAATACTCCAAGTTCGTTGGACAAAGATCGTTTGGCTAGATCAGTACTAAAGAGTGCTCCCTCATCCCAGCTGGGGCCCTGGTCAGAATGCCTGACAGTGCCACCCTCTCTTGGGTACTGCTAGCTCACCTACTCTGACCTTTGTGTATTGTCACTTTTTCTGATCCTGAGCAGGACATTAGCAATGCCTCTGGACGCTTCTTCATCATCAACAAGGAAAATTACACTGAGTTGAACATTGTGGACCTCCAGATTACAGAAGACCCTGGCGAGTATCAATGTAATGCTACCAACGCCATTGGCTCCACCTCCGTCGTCACAGTCCTCAGGGTACGGAGCCACCTGGCCCCACTCTGGCCTTTCTTGGGAATTCTGGCTGAAATCATCATCCTTGTGGTGATCATCGTTGTGTACGAGAAGAGGAAGAGGCCAGATGAGGTTCCTGATGGTAAGAGCATCCCTACAAAATAGCTGTAACATTGGGTTGGTTCCTTGGGGTGGTTTCCAAGCACCCATAGAGGACTGTAAGGATGTTGGGATTCCATCCCAAAAGGAGAGAAGGAAAATTCTTATATTGGTCCCTTACCTCTCTACCCCCAAGATTATTTTGCATTAGCCACCTAGAACTATAATTGGCTTTATCCTTCTGTTTGAGTATTCTCCAGACCCCAGTTCTGTCTGCCCTTCATGCCGCACGTGGGGAATAGCAGCTGTCACTCTCTTTGTTCAGCTCTGTCCTCCTTCAATACAGATCATCAGGCAGATTGAGCCTGAGGAGAATCCAAGTCAAGCCTAGAAGCCACCCCAAGACCTCAGGCCACCTGGCCTTTCAGGCAGATTTAAGGTATATAATTGGTTGCCACATGGTTGCCTGGTGTAGTCCCTGCAGGTTACTGCCACAGCCCGGTCACCCTGTTCTCAGAAAAGCATTGAAATGAGCCAGCCTGTGATTGCCCTTGGTTGGTCTCGTCTATAGGTTTTCAAGGCTGTTGGCTTTTCAGTCTGTGTCTCACAGACAAGAATGGTAGAGGGCGGCTGATACATCCACCCGCGCAGTTTAAGACAAAGGCAGCTAAGGGTAACACCTGGAGTCCATGCCCCAGGGCAGTGCCCCAGGCCAGCGCTCCAGGCCAGCAGAGGGTCTGTGAAGGGAGTGGGGAGCCGCAGTAGAACCACAGCAAACCTTAAGCATTGGAAAGATCAAGAGCTGTAATCTTAGATGATTGGACATGCCTGGAGTCAGAAAAGCTCTGGGAAATTTTTTTTGGTCAAGGATGTTCCATTTCTAACCCTCTGATTACAACCAGTGGGAAGCTACTGATGGAGACCTGTATCGGTAGTGCTTCCAATTCCTAAGTAGCACCACACTCCCTCCCCCCGAGAATTAATCAGTCACCCAACCTCTACCACCACTTGCCTGGCCGGGGCTAGGATAGAAGGGTGCGCCTTACGCAGGGTGTGTTCTGAGCTCAGTAGAGCCGGCTTTGGGTGGTGATGGGGTTGCTGGCTATAGTCCGACTAGGCGGGGGCCTGTGCACCTTGTGGCACTGAAACCTGCCCCGCAGAGTTGTCTGTATCACGTGGCTGGACTGCAGCACCCTGCCATACAGCACCCTCCATTGTATCTCAGGGAGAATACTAAGTGAGGTCGGGTGTTTCTCCACAAAGAGTGTGGCCCAGAGGCATGCCAGTGGCTTTAGAGTCTCTGGAAGGACATGTTTGGGGGCAGTGGCCACTTCCCTTCTCTTTCCTCTTAGCAGCTCCTAAATCTCTTTGCCTGCATTAAGCAGAGTGAGTATTAGAGAGGCTGGTGAAGAGGGTCCGCTGAGATAGTGATGCGTGTGGGAAGACCTGGTGGGCTCCCTTCCTGATGAGCGTTTAGCAGTGAACTAGATGGAAGAATGGGGTGGACATCACAGGAAGCAGATGGACCTTTTTACTGAGTGGTCTAGTTCTCTGCAACATAGAAGTGGCCCCAAGATTTCCACTTTCCTTCTAGGTCCACAAAACTGCTACTCTGTGACAACCCTGATGCTTTTTCCTGTAGATTTTTCTCTTTCCTGCTACATGTTAAGATTCCCAAGGGCGCACCTATATTTAGACCAGAGAGTAAATGGAGATAGTTGTCTATCTTGTGTGTGTTTTCAGCTTTGGCTCTTGGGGAACAGTTATGCCTCATTCCTGAAAAGGGCCTTTTCATCCCTTTAGAATGCTTTGGCTTTGTTAAATATTGCCTTCCTCAGCCTGCCCTTTGGAAAGGTCGAGAAGCTAAAAGTCAGTTAGAAGAAGGCAAAGATGGGCTTTAAAACCTGGCTTTCGAGATGGGGCTGGCTGCCACTGGCATGGCAGAGTGACACAGTGGCTTGGAATGTCCCGGTCAGAGCTTCCAGTCTTCTCGTAGGAAGCCACCTACCTTACCAGGTTGCTACCCCAGGGTATGTAGATGACATTCTGGTTAGATTTGAGGAATGGTTAGTATTATCTCCATTGACAAATGTAGACACCTGCCCAGGGAAGCAGATACCTATTTTTTTCTATGAGCTCCTTGGCTGTTGAACTCAAATGGGGGCCAGTCTGTTATAGGAGACATCTGTGGCCAGCAGATCTTCTGAACAGCTTCCTGGAGGGAAGACACCTCTTTTAAGCTAAATTACCATAGACAGTGAACGAATCCTACATAAAAGAGATGCCTACAGGGTAAGTGCAAGATAAAAACTCCTTGCCCTCGTCTCTTGGGAGAGTAATGTAAGCCAACTTTTACTTTTTTTTTTTTAATTGTTGAATTGGGGTGAAAAATATGGGATGCTGGAATTACTGCATTGCTATTCCCTTCCGACAGCAGTGTGGTGCATCTCCATCCCTGCTCTTGCTCCAGCATTTCCATTCCATAGTTTCCCCTGAGTCTCTTTACCTCTTTCTCTCACTCTTCCCGCCTCCTGCCTCCCTCCCAGAAAAGCCTCTCGTTCTTCAGTGAGTTTTCCTTGGCCGTGGCTTTCTCTTCTCCTTTGGCCGCTTTCCCCTCAACTTCTGCAGTTCTTAGGAAGAACAGACTCACCTCCGAGGCTTTCTTTCCATATGCCCCTCCTCGAATTTAAATATAGACATGTACAGACACTCCTTTTTGGAATGAATGAAGAGGTACATTCCATCTGATACAAATTTGGAGTTTTAGAGCTGATGAATTTTTACTTCTCAGTAACTCTTCTGTGGCTCTATGTTGGCTTATTTTCGCTATTGTGACAATGGTTTTTGTTTTTTTTAATAAGCCTGACATGCTTTTTCTCTGCCAAAGAAGTACTTTATTATCAAGATATACCTATAGTTTATTTCAGACTCACTGCCTATTCATATTTTGGGCAGTCTGTGAGTTCTTGGTAGCTCATCCCCTTAATGGAAAAACACTAAGAGAACAATACAAAAATAATATAACATACACAAACTTCCATTTATATACAGTGTAGTCTAAGTTTTTCTTACTCCCATAGTAAGGGAACTGGCTTCATATGTCCCTCTAGAAGCAAATATTGTTTTAAATTTTGTACACAGAAAATGCTGAGCATTAAGGTTCACCTGCTTCCTAAAAACAAAAGGCCCAGTCTTTTTATCTGCTGAAGTATACTCAGGCCATTTTATAAGTGATCTTCACGTCTGTTATGTTCCTTTGGACCCGTTATGGTCTCTTTGAGTATCGGTATCCAATAGGTTGTCTTGTAGGTGGGTTATCTGTATTTCACTTTTTACCTTCAGTGTTTTCAGGATGGATCATGGAGCCAAATAGGGCTTTGTTTTTCCACTTAACTCACCATTTGACTGTATTCTCTGAAAATGTTAACTGATAATTTTCTAGAAAGATTTAAGCCAGCATCCCTCCAGCCAGCCATCCGACAGCTGACAAATGTGCTTGGGGCCCCGTTTTGTGGTGGTTCCCTGCTGACTGAACTCAGAGCTGACTAAACCCAGGGAGGGATTAGTGTGTGCTTTCTGCTCCCCGCTCCCCAAGCCCCTGGGGAGGGCGGGGTGAACCTGCTTAGGTGCCTTCAGTTCTGCTGGGGACGTTTTAGGGACCTCACAGACATCAGCTTAAAAAGTAGGAGCTGACTTAAGAAGTGCTGGCATCAAGAAGAGTTTTCTCTTTTCACGTTAGGGGGATAATTTTTATTATCTCCCTTTAAGTTACCAGTGGAGGAGACATTTGAGGTTTTATTGGACCATCTTAGGTGGCCCTGATATAGCCACGCTCTTTCAGACACTTTAGAATGAAGAGTTATTCTAAGGTTCTGAATGCTATTAGTTGGTCAAAACATACGGGAGCACACAAAGCTTTACAGCAGGCCAGGAATGTTGGCAAGGAAATGTGACTTTTTAAATGCCATCCAAACACACACTCAGTGTCTTTTAACAAGGGGTCAGCTGGGTCGGTAACAAGCTACCAGATGGAGAAAATACAATAGGTCCAAAAAGGGAAGGAAATTGGGAGTAACCATTAATCTCTCTTGGGTTTAATGCCTACTCTCTGGAGAGCAGACAGAAGTTAAGTGGATTTAGAAACCACAAAACGCCACCCTCAGTAATTAAGACAGTGCAAAGGCAGCTTTGACGAGACAGTCAGCTCTTGGTTATTTTGGCTTTAAAGCCATCTTTTCGGAGGTGACGTTTTATCAGGTAGCCCCATGCTCGCTGGGCATGGCGGAGCCCGCTTCTAGGTCATGAGGCGGGCACGAGAGCGCGGGCTGTGGTGCCTTTGGTCGGGAAGACTGCACACGCTGAGGAGTCTGGGTGCAGCGGCTCCACCGGAAGCGTCCCTCTCGTAAGACGCATTCCAGAGCATCTTGTTTCCATTCTCCTCCGTCCTCTTCCACTCATCCAGCCAGTGGCTGTGAGTAATACTGAGGTGGAGAGAACAGTCATGGTTTAAGCTGGCTGGCTGTGGCCTGAGGGTTTGGGGGTATGTTGATATCTGTCGGTTACTATGACTTCTTTTTTTTCCCCCTTCAATTGCATCATACCCTTAAACATGGTGGTAAGTGAGCGATATGCATGCTTTGGAGTTTGTTTAATCTCCGCTTCAGTCTATACGATGCACAGTTCATAATGTTAACACTTTCCTTCAAGTTTACTTCATTCACTTTCACAACTAATTTGGATTTCAGTTTGCTGTTTAATTCTCATTTACTTTTTGTACTTTTTTTTTCTGTAGTTCTGTTCTTTCCCTCTCCCCTGATTGCCCCGTTTGGGGTCAAGTCGTTTTTTGTCTGACCTGTAAAGGAGAGTGGTGTTGAGAGAACGATGCAGTCGGGAGATTAGGGAGACACCAGGCTTTTTCTCTGTTGTGAGATGGATTTGGGGAGAGAGAGGAAGGGCCCATCAGATGGAGACGTTAGCGTGACTCATAGCTGCTCCCACGCGCAGGCATGGCGGCTACACTGGAGCCACTGCTGCCGAAACACCTCCACGCAGCCCTCTGCACGTTATCAGCTTGTGGGGCTGGGAAGTAACGTTCTTAATCAGACCCCGGGCAATACCCCCACTACAACAGAAAGAGAAGCTTGTGGTGTGAAGTGCTTGGGTTGGTGCCTACAGTGTTAACGCTTGGAAAAGATCAGCCTGGCTATCGCAACTCCCTCTCCCCCTTATTACTTCCCCTGCTTTTTCTTTTAAAGTTGGGAGTAGATTGGTGAGATTCTTGAATCTGCTATCTCGCATTAGACTTTTGTATTTTCAGGTGCACAGCCAGAGCATTACAAACACTCTGTTTGCTCTGTGTCTTTTCCTTTAAGTCCCCCAGCGCTTAGTTGCTAGCATGTAGCTGAGCTGGCTTGGCCGGGAGGCTAGGGTGTTCCGAAGTTGTGGTGAGGGCAGGATTTAGGCTGGGCTTGTATGTCCTAGGACCTGGCGTGTCTCTGTGTATCTCCACTGCATACCCAGTACACAGATGTCGTGGGTGTCCTAAAGTCTTAGTGTGCTCTCTGTACCTGTTTCGATAGTTCCTGTTGTTAGTAATGGACTCCTGTGGACACTGGCGTGTCGCTAGCCTCTTGTTTTGGCTGATGAGTCATTGGTTTGTGATTAGTTCTTTTTTTTGAAATATTTTTTTTGCTCCAGTCACTGTGTGTGCTGGCGGTGGCTTTGCCTCTCCGTTGCCTCGAAGGAACAGGCGGAGCAATGTCTCCTGTGACAGACATTACTCCTGACGTGTGCTCCTGCAGATGCCCACACTGAGACTGTGAGCTCCATAACTGCTTCATGTGCACCGAGCCCCTTGTGGAATCCTGCTGAGAGGTTTTCTATGCCCTCATGAAATCAGACTGTTCTGGATCGTTTAGTCCACCTGACTTTTGGACATTAAAAGAAACTAAGAGCACTTACTTGCTCCCTCCCCTTTGGGGATCTTTCCCCTCCACCCAACCCCAGTATTCTCTCCATGTATGTGTATCTCTGCTTAAAGGGGACCAAGTTGCCCTTAGTTGAAACAGGAAAGAAAAAGTTACAAATCAGAATCTTTAACAATCTAAGATGGTTTCTAAACTCAGATAATATAAGCGTTTTTATTAAGAAAACCAAAACAACAACAATAACAAAAAAACCCTATCCTGTGGCTCATCTGGGTTTGGGTTCTGGTTTTGACCAGGGCATAAAAGCGAGCCTGTTTTTCTGTCAGGGATGTCACCACTATCCCATGCCCCTGGTGTGTCACAGAACATCCTCTGTTACGCGTACGCTGGTTGCTGGCACAGCCCAGCATGGCTGGTCCAGCGTTAGGTTCAACTGTTGTGGCTGCCTCTTCCTCAGTCTCATTCTCCAGACCAGAGACTCCTAGAGATTGCAAAACAGCAAGAAAAACAGAGCGTCTTTTGGGGAAAGCGAGGATGTGTGGCTAAACGTACAGTACGTACACATCCATCCACGTTGTAGGACTGAGCCAAAACTGTGCATGCATTCACCACAAGAAAACAAACAGCAGGATTTTACAACTGAAATGTTGGTTTGTCTTCTCATCTATTTATGAGTGAACCACTGGAACTTGGGGACAAGATGAGTATAATGATATTGCAGCCTATCTGTCCGCTACAGTTGCAGTTTTTCATGACAAGCATTCAAAGTGTTAACTAAAACCATTGAAACAACATACCTGCCATTAAAAACCTGAATCTAGAAGTAACTCCATGAGTGTTTTGCACCTCCAGACGGAATGGCCTTGAGTAAATGCTATGAATAGCCATGTTTGCCACTTGTAATTTGCTGTTCTATTAATCCTCATGCAGAGTCTAACAATTTTCTCTTTTCTTCTTCTGTCTTTCAATGGGTTATTAAAAAACGGAACACCTGTGTAGACGATGAACCAGCTGGGCCAATGTAAGTACCTTACTGGACACTGATCTGACAGTTTCTGATTGAATTATTTTGAACTGCTGTTTAATCCAGTGGAGTTGCTAAGACTGTAGAGGAAGCTAGTGAATGGATTGATGTTGCAGTGTAGACTTTAGACTGACATTGACCTGATGGATGATCATTTGATTCCCAGGACAGGCAGTACAGTTTGGTTTTTAGTAGCATTACAAAGTAGAATACCATGCAAAAAAAGTGTTTAAGACTCTGTACATCTTACATGCTTAAATTGGTAACGTGGGGAATGACTAGTATCTGAAGCTTCAGGTTTTGTTAAAGTTAACCTTCATCTGGACTATACCGCGTGGGCTGTCTAGCTCCGTTAGCAATCGCTAGTATCCAAGAGAGATGGAGCTCCAAGAGAGATGGAGCTGCAAGTGTGGAATCAGAAGTCCCCAAGATTGGCAGAGTCTCCTAGAGTTGGGGGCTAAGGAGTGAGAGGCAGGCAGACGGTGCCCAAATCAGCTAAGTACCACAGAGCAGAGCGCCGTCCAGGTATCTTTTTTATCAGTCGAAAAGGGACACTGGTATTCAGCAGAGAAAAAGCTATTCTCACCTTTATAGTAATTGGATTATAGTTGATAAAACAAAGGGAAAGTTACCTGTAGGCTGTCTGCCTTGGGAGTCAAAAGGATCTATTAATTGAAGGTATGTAGGTATTTTCCAAAAGGGATATTTTTATGCACTACTATTGTGCAGTAAAATTTCTTATTACCCCAGGGATGGCAGTAAGTGAAAGACTCCCTGTATTTCCATGTGTTATACTTTCAAAAGTTGCTACTGACTTTGATGTTAACTCTTGTAATGCAATTTTTCCTCCGAAGGAAAACCAACTCCACCAACAATCACAAAGATAAAAACTTGCGCCAGAGAAACACAAATTAAGTACTGCTTCTAATGTAAGTATGGCCTCTTTAGAAGTTTTAAAAACTATATTCAAATGAATGTGCCTCTGTAGACCTTGTTAAAATTCTTCAGTAGTCGGTGTGTATGTTGGTAAGATCTTTTAGTTAATTTCAGAGCCGCTGATACTGATGGAATAAGTTCTGTCTGCCCAGTTCAGTGGCTGGAAAGGAACATTTTTCAGCTGCCTTGCTTTGCATATTTACATAAATGCCATTTCAGAATATGTTTCAAAAGAAATACATTGCACCACTATTCACTTCTCTCTTTAAAAAGAGGTAAAAATTAAATTGTCACCTTCTTAGGTGGATTATTCCCAGAGGCCAATCAGTCTTACTTTGCTTTGAAGGGCAAGGCAGTAGTGGTGCCCAGGCGGCAGTTGGGCCGAGTGCTGTCTTGTTAGGCACATGGAGATCAGAATTTCACACCACATCCCTGAGCATGCTGTTTGAACCAGAGCTTTGTTTTTACATGTCACCTCACAGTCCTGAGTGACAGTGCATATTCCCTTTTAATTTCCAAATTCTTCTTTCTTTACAGATCCCTAGGTCCCTGAAACTGGTGGCAACACAACCTGCTAAATTTCATGCTTGGACCTCTTTGGTTCTATAACTCTCTTTCTCCACCTTTCAAGTGAGCAGCACCACAATGACTGTCTAAAGCATGCCTTATTTTGCCTCTCCTGTAAGGATGACCTAGCCAGACACATTTTAAACAGTGCTTCAGTGTAGAAGGTGTAAACTATTTTGGGCTTGATGTGCTGTGAATGTTGCTTCTTTTCCTTTGTTAAAATATTTAAATAGAAGTGAAAAGCTCCTCTGAGGATCAGATCATGCATGCACCATTTTTTACTTAATGCAGCTGTTAAATTGGCAAAGCTCTAAAATGCACTGCTGCCATCTAGTGATACATTTTTGTAAAGTACAGCAAAACCTACAGATATATACAGTATATAAATATATATATTTATATTTTTTGGGGTGGGAGAAATCCAGAAATAAAGTAAATGCTTGTTTCATTTTTAAGCTGCTGATAATTCACTCCTTATAGTGTATGTTGTCAGATGAGGATATTGTGCAGTTCCAGTACATAAAGATGAGTAATATAAACTGAAATCTAAATTTTAAGGGCTTAACCTACGACTTTAATAAGAAGCTGGTACAGTCCACTGAATGGATATAATGAATTGCAGTAAATATGTATGATTGCTTTTTAAGTGATTATTTTTTCTTCTGTTAAATCATGTAAATTCTTAAATCCTTTTGCACTGATGTGTTGAACCTTATTCTTGTACATTCAATTAAGGCAAACTTTTATAATTTACCTTTTGTTTTCAGTGACCTTGAAATGTTATAGCATGGTGATATTCTATGCAACTAGTTATACTTTTTGGTTTGACACTGTATTTTTTTCATGTTGATTTGATGATTGATTGTAGATTTTATAACCTAACAGTTCTCATGCAGTGTGTAACTATAGATGCATGTACTTGTGTTTTGTGTAATTGTTGAAGTGCAATGATGTATAAAAAAGTGAATTTACCTGTTTTTAAAAATAAAACATTGATAAAAGGTGTTTGGAATAATACCCTTTATTCTGGTGTCTTCTCTAATTTTAGAAGATGCTTTTTCCAATACTTTCAAGTTCCTTAGTTACACATGTACATACAGCATTAACGGCTGAACCCTGTCAGCTTTTTTAGTTCCTTTTCCACCTCTTCCACAAATGCTGGGAAATTCTGATCCATGAGGCACAAGCGTAGAAAGGGGCCTATCTCGTCAGCATCCCATGCAGACTGCTCATAGACAAGGGATAGCTTCTCTGACGCCAGGATAGACTGCAGGGATATCAGAGTCCATTTATTAGAGATTGCAGGTGAAAGCAAGAGTCTGACTAACAGAACATAGAAAAACTTTGCCTTAAGGAAAGTTTAGGGAAACTGGTCAGTTTATACACAAAAATAATTAGTTAGCTTTATAGGGTTCCTTTAGATAATAACTTATAGAGTAATATTTAATATTTTACATACACATTTTCTAAATACATAAAGTGAGATAAACATTCATCCTTAAAAAAAGGATTAAAATGATTTGCAAAGTTGAGATCTTGCTTTAGTGAAGAACACTGTTGTGGATTACCAAGAACCTAGCAATGAATGAACTCATCTTAGTTCATTCCCCCAGGGCAGAGGCAGAGGAGGAGGTGTGAGCAGTCCACCATGTGGAAGCTGGTTCTGAATGTAAGAGGAAGGTCACAAACTGACCACCCAGTGGACACCACAGTTAGTTAGTTAGTTAGAAGCATACCTGTCTTTTTCCAGCCTTGTGATACTTGTTTTTAAAAATACTTTTTTAAATTTACAGATGGCAAAATTGACTCTCTTTTTGGTGTATAGTTCTGTGAGGCTTCACAAACACAGAGACTAATGTAACGACACTACAGTCAAGATACAGAACATTTCCATCACCTCCAAAAATTCCCTTGTTAGAACCAGCCCCCACCCTTAGCCCCTGGCAACTGCTGGCCTTGTTCTCTGTACCTATGGTTTTGCCTTTTCCAGAACGTCATATAAATGGAATCGTAGTATGTCGTCTTTTGAGTCTGGCTGCTTTTACTAAACATAATGCACTTGAGGTTAATCCATGTTGTTGAGTGTATCAGTAGGCCAGTGCTGTCTGTTGCTAAGGAACAGTCCATTGTCTGGATGTACCACGTTTTATCTTGTCTCCAGCTGAGGTACATTTGGGTTGTTTTGCTTTTTGCAATGAAGAATAAAGCTGCTATAAACATTGACGAACAAGTTTTTGTGTGAACACAGGGTTTCATTTCACTTGGATGAATACATAGGAGTGGGACTGCTGGGTTATTTGGTAGGTGTATATTTAAGTTTATAAGAAACTGCCAGACTTTTTCCACAGGCTGTACCATTTCACTTTCTACCAGCAGTATAGGAGTTCCAGTTTCTTGATATTATCCGTCCAGCACTTGGTATTATCAGTTTTTTCTTTTTTTTTTCTTTTTAATTTTAGCCATTCTGATAAAGTGTGTAGCGATTTCTCTTTGTGGTTTTAATTTGCATTTCCCTAATGACTGAGGATGTTGTGCATCTTTTCGCACGCTCATTTGCCATCTGTATATCTTTGGTATATGCAATGTTTACAATTATCTGCAGTGCTTTAAAACAACTTGAATACACTGCCAACATTTAAATATTAGGAGATTTCAAATAAAAGTGCGGCTGCTTGAAAATTTGGAAGATCTGGCGGCGCTGGCTCCACATTCCCACATAACTACAGTTGGCTGCATCTCTGTTGTGGTCAGCCTTCCTTTTGGCTCCCTGACTCAGTCATCTTATGCACAGCAGTCCCCTCTTATCTCCCGGGGATCTGTTCCAAGACCCCCAGTGGATGCCTGAAACCATGGATAGTACTGATCTCTACTGATAAGTATTTTTTCCTATACATACATGCCTATGGTAAAGTTTAATTTATAAATTAGGCACAAGAGATTAACAACTAATAATAAAACAATAATTATAACAATATACAGTAATAAGTTACGTGAATGTGGTCTCTCAAAATATTGTACTGTACTCACCCTCCTTCTTGTGATGATGTGAAATGATAAAATGTCTTCATGATGAGATGAAGTGAGGTGAATGATAGAGACACTGTGACGTAGCGTTAGGCCACTACTGACCTGATGATGATACACCAGAAGGAGGGTCGTCAAGCCATGACCATGTTGATGATTGGGGTTCCCCGATAGCTGGAAGTTCCTTTTTTCCGAAACCTTTTGGAAGAACATTGTAATCCAAAGTTCTCGGACTGCGGGTAACTGAAACCGTGGAAAGCAAAACCACGGATAAGGGAGGACAACTGTACTTCTCACATTAATTCTGTTAAATAGGTGGTTTTATTGCCCTTCTATGGATGGCATGGTTTAGTGTGTACCTATGAAACGGGCATTTCTCTGGGAGTCATCTATAATAGAAACTAACTTTTCTACATTCAGATCAGCTTTTCAGACTATGCCTAAAGGTATGACTAAGGAAATGAAAGTAACATGGAACCCCATTTTTCAGTGAGAGCTATCGTTAACACGTTAGTGTATATCCTTCCAAACTTATTTCTGTGTGTGTTTATTAGAATAATTGAATCATTACATGCTGTTCTGTATGTATGCGTGTATGTTTTCCTTTTAAAAAAAATGTTGTGAATACCTTTCCATATCAATAGATCTACATTGCCTTCATCGACTGCATTCTTACCCATCTATGGTTGTACCACACTTTATTGAACTGTTCAGTATCCTATTTATGAACATTTTTGTTGTTTCCAGTTTTGGGCTACCATAAACAACACTATGACAAACATCGTTGTATGTATGTGTAGTGAGAATTATAGGTAATAAGATATAACATTAAATCTGATACATATTGCTAAATTGCCTTCCAAAAAGTTTTACCAACTTACATTCGTAGAATGACTTGCCCAGAAGGTTTGAGCAAATTAGTAACATATCTGAGCTCCAAGTCTGGTGCCTTTTCTCATACGCACATAGTTCTTATACACTATGTAAATAAACTGGGCTAAGGTACCTTTATAGCAACTGATATTAAGGACATCACACCCTGCCCTGCTCCTGTATTTCTGCAGCTCTAGTGTGCTCAGCCACTCTGATCCAATTAACCCCTAACCCCCCTGCAAATACAAGGCTACCAACCGGGCATTATAAAGTCTGCCCTTCTGCTGGGAAAACAGGCCTTTTAATTTTCTGTCATAGTTGTTGGATTTTAAAAAAGAAATAAACATGGATTCTTAGTCTTGTTATCCCTCCAATTTTTTATTTTCTACGATTGTCCACGTATTTTGAGTTAGTGGTAAGCCTGATGGAGAAAACACCATGTTTTATATACCACCGTTAGCACAGTTTGGTAGATGCATTAAAAGGAAAATTCATCCTTGAATACTGATGAATTCCACGCAGCACCTCATGGACAGCACATGCTGTGGCATGAGAACCAGCTGTGGGCACACCAGGAAATATGGGGAGGAAGAGACAGATGGTCCTCAAGCAGTTTCCAGCAGGACGGACATCAAGTAGCCACGATTTTGATTGCATAGGTTTTGCAGGATTCTCAGGTAAACAGCAAACTGCTCAGGGAAAGGGGGTGTCTGGAAGCAGGTCTGTGGTGACAGAGTGGAATCTTCTTGGGCTTCCACACATCCTTAGCTAAGAGCTTAGCACTGATTTGCTCACACAGAAGCCGCAGGCCACCTGCCTGACTCCAAATTCATGTTGGTAGTTGCCTTAGGATAGTTTCCAAATAGAAATTCTTCCCTTTACTCTTCTTTTTGGGAAAAAATTAAAAAACCCAAACCCACTGCCATCCAGTCGATTCCAACTCAAGAAAGTGACGATTAAATTCTTCATCTCACACGTGTAAAGGCTAACCCTAGAAACCACTCTTCCTCTTTTCACTTCCTCAGGTGAACACTTCTTCAGTATGTGCCATGTGTCTAATCTCACAACAGGGGTAGATGAAAATGGCCTGTCCTCCGCCCTTACTGTCTTCTTCAGTAATGCTTTAAGTTACTACTGTAGGACAAGGGAGCGAACAGAGGGATACACATTCTTAGGGAATCACTATTGTTTGTGAAAGAAAGGAACACAGAAATCGGCTGTACCTGAGCTAACTGTGTCACTGAGGCCCTTTCCTCTGGAGCGCTTGTGCCAGGTGTTCTACGCTGCCCCTGCTCTGGGCTCTGGTGTAACTGGAACGAAACAACACGCCATTAGGAGACTGGCTGGACGTGACTGGAAACACCACAGGCCACTGAAGAAACGGAAACACGCATTCATGTTCAAAGAAAGAAAATATCAGTTAAGAGTAAAAATCATTGTCAGTGTAGGTCTGTACTAGTTCAAACTGATTTACCACAGCAGAGGTACCGAAGGAGTTTAAGCCTGAGGCTCCCACTGTATCTGCTGTTCCTCAGGGTCTGACAGGCTGTTAGTATTTCTTCCCGTCAGACACTCGGCACTGTCTTCAAAGACTCAGCCGGAATCAGGAAGCACCATGGAAGCAGGGAGAGTCCCTGTGGCAGCTTGCATGCAATGGACATCGCTCAGTGTCTTATAACCATTTGTTACCTTCTAAAATTATTACCCAAATAACACATGTTCACTGCAGAAAAGAAAAAAAAAAAACAAACAATTGTGAGACAACCACATAAAACGGTTCCATTTTTTAAAAATCTCAGTTTAGGCATTCTGAGGGAATGAGTTCTTCTATAAGTAAAGTTTCTAGATATCAATTCAACAATTTGTGCCCTCCTTATACCAGCCACTGGGATAAAGGAAAAGATGCTACGAAGAACAAGATGGAGGTCCTGCCCTAAAGAAGCCCCCAGGCTAGTCAGAACTTCATGAAAAACTGACCACAATGCAACTGGTAAGTATGTGTAAGTGCTCAGGCTCGCAGGGCAGGTATGGGACTGGAGGGCGCTGTGCGCTAAGCATGCAGTACGGCAATGCTCCAGAGCCCACGAATCCATATAGTCATGAGGAGGAGTTCTCAGGTAGAATACAGGCGATGGAATGAACAAGATGTATACGGTCTGGCGGTATGAAAGAGCTGCTTCCACCTAAAAACACCGGCCTTTCTGAGAGCCCCACCACCCCTCCTTCCCAGCCGACATGCCTACAGGTTCCGGCTTGTTTTGGATCGCTGTGGCTGCTGCAGCACTAACCTCCAGACAAGAAGCAGGTACCCGCACTAGGTGAGAGCTGATGGTATAATGGGGGAGAAAACTAGGCCCTCTGGGGGGCGCCCTGTACACCAGGTTCTGCCTGCTGAAGTGAGAGGATGCCAAATTGTCTTCTGTCCTACATGTTCCTAGTCAGTAGGTATTAGCAGAAGTGTAAATCTGGAAGCATCAAAAAGGTGTGTGGGGTCAGCGAGGAAGGAAAGAACAAAGAACAAAAAACTGGTCAAGAATACTAAGTCAAAATGAGCAAAAAGGCTAAGGGACTCTAAGGAGTCAGGAGCCCTTAGACAAGCCCCATTTCTCTGTTCAGTTTCCTCATCTGTAAGGACGAGAAGTCAGACTCTTGCGCCTGGCTAGTGGTTTGTTCAGCTCTGCTATTTGCTGCTTTCCTAGGATATGTAACAGTTCAGCTTATACAATGTTCTTCAAACAACTGGGAAAGACCAACCAAAACAGTACGCCACAGGTAAGCGCTGCTGTCACCAGCAGCCGGGTGTGCTGAAGCACTTGAGGTTAATGGGGTGGTCCCAGGATTAGATGGACCTCCACCCTCAGAGATGGAAGGTTCTGTGCACAAAGTAGCTGACACCCCTTAGAATTTCTGTGCTGATAAAGGAGAGTTCCCGTAGGAACTGTCATCCTCTTTCTGGTCTCCCCTCCAGCCCCCTGGGAGGGGGCGGGTTGCCTTAGAGGCCCTCAGGTTGAGAAACACCTGGTTAGGCCACAATTAGCAAAATTACAAGGCTGAGGACAAGTTAAAAACCAAAATACAAGCCAGGAAATGACTCAAGAACTTGAAATAGAGAGACACAGAATTATCTCTATTTGTAAAGAAGGGACAACTATTTTAGACAAAAATATATGTATAAAAACCCAATGCTATCAAGTCAATTCCGGCTCATAGAGACCCTATAAGACAAAGTAGAACTGCCCCATTGGGTTTCCAAGGCTGTAAATCTTTACGGGAGCAGACTGTCAACATCCTCCTGCAGAGTGGCTACTGGGCTCAAACCACTGACCTTTCAGTTAGCAGCCGAGCGCTTAACCACACCTGCCTCGGAAAGCAGCAAGATGACCAGAACCTGGCATAGCCTGCAACTCTTAAAATGGATTTTGAGAAAGGGAGCATGATGCCAATTTTGTACAGCAGCAGGAAGGGCAAACCTGGGGATGACTGTCCTGTTTTGTCATTAGGAAGACTAGAATGTTCTCGGCAGTGCTTCATAATGTCTGTACTCTGGTGGATTTCACCTTTTAGGCTTTGCCTTGTCTTCTGCTCTGCAGCTTCAGACACTCCATCTTATCATGTCCCCTGTTCGCTCTAGAGGTTCTGACCCTTGCTAACTGACCACAATGCTACTTTGTTAATCTGCAAGTGAAGGGAGATCGGGAAAGTGACACTACTGGCAATAATAGTAATACTATTAGTATTACTGGATAATACAATGTTCTTCAAACAGCTGAAAAAGACATCAACCAAAATGGTGTGCCACAAACACTGTCAACAATAGCCAGGTGTGCCACAGTACCTGCGGCTAGTAACGTTCCATTATTACCCAGTAGTAGTAGATAATGCTATTTAGATTATATTTGCCAGGCATTGTATTAGGTGCAGTAGCCCTGGTGGCACAGTGGTTAAGTGCTTGGCTGCTAACCTGAAGGTCAGCAGTTCAAATCCACCAGCTGCTCCATGGGAGAAAGATGTGGCAGTCTGCTCCTGTAAAGATTTACAGCCTTGGAAACTCTCTAGGGCAGGTCTACCCTGTCCTATAGGGTCGCTATGAGTTAGAAGTGACTCAACGGCAGTCGGTTTGGTTTGGTTTCGGTACTAGGTGCTTTCTACGTGGCATTTCAATCTCACCATTTCACACATGAGGTTCAGTGGCTTGCATGAGATGACACAGCTATTAAGACAGGGCCGGGTTTCAAACCTAGGGCCATTAGATTCTGAAGACTGTGGTCTTTGCACAACATTAAGCTGTCTCACCTACTCAGAAAACCAAATTACAGATCAGAAGGGTCCCTCAGTATAGAACCAGGAAAAGACATGAATGTTTTTTAACCATTTGAGGGCTATTTCTAGATAATTGGGGCCAGCCTTTAAAATCAGAGAGCTGAGCCTGTATCTGCTGCTGCAGCTCCCAACCCTTAGCCTGCATTTGTTACAAGTTACAGCCTCAACTTATCTTGTATTTTTCACATTTACATTATTGTGTAGCCTGATGAGATTCTAGCCTGAAGTGTCTTCATTACCTTTATGGAGCATTCCAGACCTAGTTCCAAACTCTGAGACCCTATTTAGTTCTTGTGGCATGCCATGCACTGTGTTTACTATATTTATAACCTGAATCTTAATAATTGGTCAATGAAACCTACATAAAAAGAAACCTAGTTTAAGGGCAAAGGATCATAGGCATAAAGTATCTTATAATAAACCAGTCCCTCCCATTTGTAGGGAAGAGAGGCTTAAAAGAATATACAAGAACTGATGAGGTATATTGTTTGAACCTAGATCCAAGGTTTGCGAGACATTAACATCAGGCATCTTCGCGCCAAAAAAAAGGCAGTGCGGCAACAAATGAAGAGAAAGAATTCTGAAAACACTACAATCTGAACTGGCCAACTAACCACATTCAAGAAGAAATCATGCGGCACCTGCTGAAAGGAAAAGACTTTCTGACACGTAAATTCATGCTCCCCTCAGACAGAATCACGGACGACAAGAAACCTGGTGACAAAAGAGCAAAAACTGAATCATCTTGGTTCACTGAGTTTAAATGGAACTAACAGGATGCAGTGACGGAAAGCCATGTTTGGAAAATCATTTCTTAAAGTAGAAAATAAAAAAACCCAGCTTGAACCATTAAAAAATAATAAACCCATTATATGTTGGTATTCCAAAATTTTCATGAAAAATATTTTCCGAAACAAAAATGTAATGATTTTTTACAAATCTCTTTAATGTCTAGCTTCACAGAAGACAGCTGGATCCTAGCATCTACTTCTGAATTCAATCTGCTGCAATATGTTGCTTTCGTTGAAGTAGAAGAAAATCCAACCTCATATAGATACGCAGATGTAAAAACAACAACAACAAAAAACCCAAACCCACTGCCATCAAGTCGGTTCCAACTCATAACAACCCTATAGGACAGAGCAGAACTGCCCCATAGGGCTTCCTAAGATGTAAATCCTTATGGAAGCAGACTGCCACATCTTTCTACTGAGGAGCAGCTGGTGGGTTCGAATCTCCGACCTTTCGGTTAACAGCCAAGCGCTTTAACCACTGTGCTTCCAGGGCTCCCATAGACGGAAGAGGGAGGAGTATTTTTAAATAGCCTTTCAGATCATTGTGGACAGTCTCTGATATGACACCAAAACTCACCACATGACAGTTTCTCAAAGGTTAGCTGCAATACAGAATCTGAAACCACAGCAATGAACTTGTTATACTCTGTTATATCAGCATCCGTTGGTCTGTCTTACGCTTCAGGTGGATCCTTTATCCATGCATGCTTTTTAACACCATGCATTGGTCATTTGGAAAATAGTGGTTCACTGAACTATACAGATATTCCACATGTTGAACCATTTCATTATGTAATTATCTTTTTTTTTAATTTTTAAAAATTTTCTTAAAAGCCTGTGAGCGGCCATCTAAGATACTCCATTGGTCTCATCCCTTTGGGAGCAAGGGAGAATGAAAAGAACAGGATATAAGGAAAAGATCAGTCCGAAGGACTAATTGTCCACAGCTACCAAGGCCTCCACCGGACTGAGTCCGGTACAGCTAGATGGTGCCCAGCTACCACCACTGACTGCTCTGACCAGGATCACAACAGAGGGTTCTGGACAGAGCTGGAGAAGGATGTAGAACATAATTCTAACTCACAAAAGAAAGACCAGATTTACTGGCCTAAAGGAGACTGGAGGAACCCCGAGAGTATGGCCCCCAGACACCCTTTTAGCTCAGTGGTGAAGTTATCTGCGAGGTTCACCGTTCAGCCTGGGAGTGGACAGCCCCGTAAAACCAAATGAGACTAACGAGGTACAGGAGTCCAGTGACAAGGGCCAGAAGGCAGAAGGGGACAAGGAAGCTGGTGATAGGGAACACAAGGTTGAGTAAGGATATTGTTGATGTGTTGTGAGATTGTTAACCATTGTCATAGGGCAACACAGTAACTGTTAAATGAGAAACTATTTTGTTCTGTAAGCCTTCATCTTGAGAATAACAGCACAATTGGAAGAGCATAGTCAATGTCACTGAACTGTGCATGTAGAAATTTTTGAAATGGTGTATCTTTGGCTATGTGTATTTTCACCAAAAAAAAGGTTGAGAAGTTAGAGGGTTGACATGTTGTGGGGTTGTTAACCAATGTCATAAACAATATGTGTACTACTGTTTCATGAGAAACTATTTGTTCTGTAAGACTTCACCTGAAGTACAATAAAAAAAAAAAATCACAGTAATTAATATCAACATCAGAAAAGTCTTTCGGGTTAGGAAGCTGTTGATAATAAATTTTTCAAAATTCTAACCTTCACTTGAAAGTTTAAATTTTTATCATTGTCAATAAGTACGTTCAATTGTTTTCCTGATGTGATGGGGTTACTTCATTCATTTTTGAGAAAATGTCTACCAGATACCCAAATCTGAATAAACCATAGTTCTTTCAAGTAATAATGGTATTCTGTGAAAAAAGAGGCTAGTTCAGTTTACAACTCGAAAAATCACATAAGAGCTTTTCCTTGAGACAACCATCATACTTCAGCATGCAGGGTATTTTCGTTTGTTTTTAGAGCGAGTGACTGGTGAAAAATATAAGGAATTACTAGCACAGTTTGGTGCCACTGCCTTGATTGGTGCTGAAGTGACAGCAGCTTTGTCCACTGTTGCTTTTGTACCGTCAATGCAAATGTCGACACAGTGAAAAGCGTAGATACCATCTTAATATTATTTTGAAAAGGAGCCCTCATGGCACAATGGTTAAGCGCTCAGCTGCTAACTGAAAGGTTGGTGGTTCAAACTCACCCAATGGGAGAAAGACCTGGCGACCTGCTTCCGTAAAAATTACAGCCTAGAAAACCCTATGGGGCAGTTCTGCTCTGTCACATGGGGCCGCTATGCGTCAGAACTGACTCAACGGTAAACAACAACAACACCATTCTGAAGATCATTTGGACCTGGCTGACCCCGGAGAAGGCTTCAGGGGGAAATGTTCGGACCACACTCTGAGAACCACTGTTCTCTAGTGACACTCAGAACGACTCCCTCCCCTTCTAATTTCTAGGATCATCCAACAATAACCCACCAACCCATTGCCATCGAGTTAATTCCGACTCATAGAGACCCTATAGGACAGAGTAGAACTGCCCCATAGAGTTTCCAAGCAGCGTCTGGTGGATTCGAACTGCCAAACTTTTGGTTAAGCAGCCGTAGCACTTAACCACTATTCCACTAGGGTTTCCTCTAGGATCATAGGAGGATACAATGAGGATCAAACCTTCAATTAAAATAAGTTATTCAACATTAGATATCTTTTAAACTATAAACTTGATGGACTCGACAAATTCCATTTTGATTTTGGCACCCATGGCGCACTGCATAATCAAGTTTCTTGTATGGCCAGTACAGTCGCCTACTTACTCCGTGCTGCAGTGGGACACTCTCCGCACAGTCCTGCCCGTGGCTTTCACCTGCCCTGAGTGGGCCAGGACTTGGCCGAAGCTCCTGGATGATTCCATCGGGCACCTGGACAGTTATGTACTGGGCCAGGCTTTGCACACAGCTGCAGCAGTGTTCCAGCGCCTGCTCCTTTGACTCTCCACTAAACTGCACCCGGAACATGCGGCTTTTGCTCTGTTTGACAAATAAGAAGTTACCCTGAGTGACCCTAGATATATCACTTTTATTTACTGTGGGGTTTTCTAGTGAGTCACTCCCTTTGATTGGAGGGAGAAGAGGTATGGATGAGGGAGCAATTACCCAATCTTGTTCATGTGGGTATAGAAAAAAAGCCAGTAATTATTTTTCTCCCTCTCTTTGAGAGCTATATCTCATACTAGAATTCATTTCCTTCAGGGAACTGACATTAGCAAAAATGGAAAAGCCCATATCCTAAAGCCAAAGAAGGCCTCCATACTGACTGAAGTAAAAGATCAATGTTTTATTTTGCTTTGAAATGAAAATTTCATAGCTTCTAATTCTGTAAGTGGAAAATCAGTGAAGATAATGCAGCATGGTCCTGGCTCGACAATATGTTTCTAAAGCTGAGTATATAAAAGAGCAAGCCAGGTGGATGTCACATTTAAAAGGCCAATGAAATTCAGACTACTGTACAAATCACATAGCGGAATGCTGTTTCTAATTGCTGTCTGAGTTACATCCCTTTGCAAGTTAGCAAATGTAGGACAGATGAAATAATAATAAAAAATCTGGAAACTACATCAAACTTACTTGATTGTGAGGTTAAAAACAGACGTAAGTTATAACAACAACAAACATTATTTTAGTAGCAGTTCCCTCTTTTTCCAGTCTAATCTTTTGCCCAGTTTAGAGGAGGGAGCTTATACAAAGCCACCGCAGACACGATTCTGTATACTGTATTCCTTTGTTCAATTTCTTCTGCAAAGAAATTCAGATTTTTTTCACTTAATGAATATATAAACCACATCGCTAACTTGAAAACACTTCTAACCACAGTTAACAAAATCCTGTATGCAAAATTCTGCATCCTATAAGCAAATAGTCTTAGCTTCTCCTTTTCACTGTTTACGCTATGTAAATTTTTAGACGAGGGGGGCAGTCCAATGGCAGCGTAGTCAGAAGCCTCATAACATCCCTCTTACAACAAAGACCCAGGAAAACAAATGAACAGGATATAGATGGCAACTTTGGAACCCTGAGCATCAAAGACAAAGCTGAAGTAGCAGACGAAGTGCCAAGTAGGAGAGACTGTACAAAAACAGCAGACACAGAGAATTATGGATCACCAGTCCCCTGCAAGTTGAACCTGCAAAGCGTGGCCATATTGGGACAAAGCAAGCAGTGTTGTCAGCCAAAGCCCCCATCACCTGGTGCAGCCAAGCAGGAGTGACTCTGCACCCACATCCAGAGCCAGGCTAGAGTGCTCCCCACCCTGCCTCCCAGTCCCCATGCTGGAGGCCTGCGGACCTGCAATGTACCCCAACCGCCTCAGTTATTCCCCTCCCCCTGTACATGATCACGGTCCAGTGGCACCTACCACCACCCCACCCCAAGCTGGGAGCCCACAGACTGGCAGCGCCCACCCCTTTGCTCAGCCACTCGCACTGGGGACCCACAGACTGGTGGCACCCACTTTACCCGGCCACGTGTACTGGGAGCCTGTGGACAGGCGGTGCCCCCTTTTCTGCCCACCCACCCATGCCAGGGGCCTGTGGACTGGCAGCACCCACTCCTAAGCCCAGCCACCTGAGCCAGGCCCGCAAACTGGCGGCGTCCACTCTTCCACCTGGCCACCGGTGCCAGGGACCCAAGGACTGACGTCACCTCCTCTTCCACCCAGCCAACTACGTCGGGGAACTAAGGACCAGCAGCACTCACTCCTATGCCCAGCTGCCCACACCAGGGCCCACAGACTGGTGGCACCTGCTGCTCCACCCAGCCACTGGTGCTGGGAGCCTGTGAACTGGAGATGCCTGCTCCTACACCCAACCACTTATGCCAGGGACCCACAGACCAGCAGCACCTTTTACTCCCTCCAACCGCCTGCACTGGGGGCCCATGAACCAATGGCACATCCTCCCCCACATCATGCTGTAGCGGTCAGGGGCACGCCTTCTTAGTAGGCACCCAGGGACTGGTGGCATTTCTCTTTCCTCACCCCCTGCACTGCCCCCCTGCCTGCAACTGAAGCTTGTGCCCACTCCAACCATCCCTGAGCAGCCCTGCCCACCCAGGACCGTTGGTGAGTTTCTGTACCACTTACCCAGTGACTGTCAACCCGGGCACCCTCACCCCGACCACCCAGTGATCAGTAGTGCACACACACAACATCCAACCCAGTGAACAGTAAAAACACTCCCTGCACCCATGCCCAAGTGACCGGCTGGACAGACACATCACCTCACCAGCAATGCCAGCTACATCCTCGGCCATCCTGCAAGACCAGGAAACAGGGACTCACGCTCACACACCCAGCTGCTGCCCTACCTACCTGGAGACAGGTGGTGAAAACTCCAGTGTGGCCAGACTACTGACCAGAGTAGCATGCACGCCCCATCTACTCGGATATACCAAAATGAAATAAAACAAAAATAAGGACACAGAAAACAAACATACAATAAACAAATAAATATAATACCTTAATGCTTCAGAGAAAAGACAATATCAAATCACATAAAGAAACAGGACAAGATGGTTCCAGCAAGTGACCAAAATCAAGAACCATAAAATCTTCTGGAGGAAGAAATGGGAATAGAACCACTTGATAAGGAATTCAAAAGACTAATATAAAGGGTTCTCCAAGAGATCAAGAAAGAGATGAAGGAAAACAAAGACAAAACCAACAAAAACACAGACAAAATCAAGGAAAATACGGACAAAGCAATAGAAGAATTCAGGAAAATACTACAAGAACAAAATGACATACAGACAATTAGAAACCATACAAAAACAGAAACTAGAAATCAAAAAGATTAACAATAAAATTTCAGAAATAGACAACTCAATAGAAGGACATAGGAGCAAAATTGAATCAATTGAAGAATCAGTGAAACAGAGGACAAACTCCTTGACACCAATTTGTTTGAGGAAAAATCAGAAAAAAGAATGAAGAAAAATGAGGAAAGCCTAAGAATTATGTGGGGAAAAATTTACATGTGATAGGAATTCCACAACAGGCAGAGGCAAAATACATAAATAAATAACACCCATATAGAATTGTCAAAGATTTACTGGCAGAAAACTTCCCTAACACCATGAAAGATGAGAAGATACAATCCAAGAAGCTCAACAAACCCCATACAGGACAGACCCTCCAAAAAAGTCACCAAGACATCTCATAATCAAACTTGTCAAAACCAAAGACAAAGAAAGAACCCTGAGAGCAGACTGAGAAAAACAAAAAGTCACCTATAAGGGGGAACCAATAAGATTAACCTCTGATTACAGGGCAGAAAACATACAGGGAAGAAGGCAATAGGATGACCTATATAAAACATTCAAAGAAAAAAATTGCCAACCAAGAATTACATATCCAGCAAAATTGTCTCTCAAATACAATGGTGAAATTAGGAAATTTATCAGAAATTAAGGGAATCTGTAAAAACCAGACCAACCTTAAAAGAAGTATTAAAGGAAGTTCTCTGGACAGAGAAACCAACAACATTAAACGACAACCTGGGATTAAGACACAGGATGGCATCAGCCAGATACCAAGCAGATAAAGAATTCTCAAAAATAAAATAAAGCTAACAGACTGAAAACTGGGAACCAGAGACATCAATCTGTAAATGATGACAATATCAAAACAAAAAGGGGGAATAAATGGTGTAGTTATAGAACTTTCATGTGGAGAGGAAGTTGAGGCAATATCAAGGAATAAAAGGCCGCTTTAAACTTAGGAAGATAAAGGTAAATTTCAAGGTAACCACAAAGAAAGTCAACAAACTTACTCATAAAAATAAAAAATAATAAAAATATAAAGACTCAGTAAACACAAAACCAACAACAATGAAAGAAATGAGAAGAAAATCCACAAACAAAGAGAACTCAGCACAGAAAATTAAGTGGAACAAAGAAACCATCAACACCACAAAAGAAGCACAACAAAATGACAACAGTAAAATTAGTCTATCAATAATCACACCAAATGTAAATGGCTTAAATGTACCAGTAAAGAGACAGAGTGGCAGATGGATAAAAAAATAAACACGACCCATCAATATGCTGTCTACAAGAGATACACCTTAGACACAAAGAAATAAATAAACTAAAACACAAAGGACGGAAAAATATATCAAGTAAACAATAATCAAAAAAGAGCAGGAGTGGCAATATTAATCTCTGATAAATAGACTTTAAGGCAAAATCCACCATAAAAAATAAGGAAGGACATTATATAATGATTAAAGGGTCAATCTACCAAGAGGACATAACCTTAACAAACATATATGCATCCAGTGACAGGGCTCCAAAATACACACAAAAAAAAACTCTAACAGCATTGAAAAGAAAAGTAGACAGTTCCAAAATAATAGTAGAAGACTTCAACACACAACTTTTGGTGAAGACAGAACAACTAGAAAGAAACTCAACAAAGATACAGAAGATCTAAATGTCAAAATCAACCAACCCAACGTCACAGACATATAAGAACACTCCATCCAACAGCAGCAAAGTATACATTCTTTTCCAATGCACGTGGATCATTCTCCAGAATAGACCACATTTTACACCACAAAGCAAGACTCAATAAAATCCAAAACATCGAAATAATACAAAGCATTTTCTCTGATCACAATGTTATAAAAACAGAAATCAGTAACAGGAAGAACAAGGAAAAAAAATCAAATACATGGCAACTGAATAACACCTTGCTTAAAAACCACTGGGTAACAGATGAAATTAAAAAATTCCTAGAATCAAATGAGAATGAAAACACAACATACCAAAACCTTTGGGACACAGCAAAAGCAGTGCTCAGAGGTCAATTTATAGCAATAAACACAAAAAAAAAAAAAACCAAAAAAGAAGGGTCACAATCAAAATATTAACCCTACAACTCAAACAAACAGAAAGCAGCAAAAGAAGCCTGCATTCACCAGAAGAAAGGAAATAATAAAGATTAGAGCAGAAATAAATGAAACAGAGAACAG